TTAAAACCAACTGGCATGGTTTAGCTTTAGCAACGTTAGTACCACTCAATTCACCACTCACCACTAGCTTCACTACAACTCCATTAAGATATAACTGCCAATATTTACAACAATATTGGGATTACACCTTGCCATGATATGAAAAAAATGGTGATGTGCCTCCTGTTGCTGCCATCAATGTACCACCCCCTGTCTGGTTGAACATTTTGTAAGACAATAAAAAAATTAGATCCCAGAATGAAGGCAGCAAAAAAGGGACATAAAGGCACTTTACTGAGTACACTGGGTCATTGTTAGACACACTGACATGATGTAACAGGAAAATAGATGTAATAATGGTTAGTTTAATGTTTAGACTACATGAAATTGCATATCTGTTTCTGTGACTTTAAGTTTGGCTTTAAAACTTACTTTTATAGGAATGTAGAAGATTGTTTTTTTCTGCCCAGAAATGACAGTGAAACTGTTAAAATTATACTTCAATACTTTGTCACCAAATGTATATGTTTCTTTTTTACTTTACAAAATATAGCTCACAGGGAAGAACATTTTAAATTACCAAATTTCTGTATGTGCAGCCTGTTGTCAGCATTTATTTGTCTCAATTCATTCGTATTAGCTGCTTCCCTGGGAACCCTTTAGAGCCTTCACAATTGCATCTAGTCAATAATAAACTTTTATTTATAGTGCATCATAATTTATTCACACAGAATGGATACTAAAGATTGATTAGAACTAGAGAAGTGATTATTTTGCATAGCCATGAAACATTCATTGACTAGTTAGCAAGAAAAGTCTCAGAGGAGCTCTGAGAGCATGTGTGAGATAAGATTATAATTAAATAGGGCTTAATAAACCAAGACTGATTTTCTAGGTGTGAAGATGGGAAAATTATATTTACTACAAAAAGACAAACAGAAGCATCAGACACGTAGCGCATCTATGCTTATACACTATAAACAGATATTAACAAACTAATCAAGCCTATTTGTGTAAACTAGTCAACCTTGGTTGTTTTAATCACCTAATTAGATTTTACTGGTTCATGCCAGAAATTTTCAAGTGATTTAGATTTTTTTTAGTGCCCTTCACTGGATCCCCTGGATCATGTCTAAAATGTTCTCTCATCCTCCACTATGTTGGCTCACAATCACTCAGGCAGCGTTGTGTCACCAGACATGTCACTTCTATAAAGTGAAGCAAAGCGGTCATAATTTTCTTTGGTGCTAGTCACTTCCTCCTAGTTAATGCTGCTCAGTTCTATCATCAGTCACATGGCCACAGGGTTTTTTTTTCTTACTCAGTGACATAAAGTCTTGACTATCAGTAATAGTTGCAGATAGTCTACCTGGCATTTGTCAGTGTTCACTAAGCAATATTAGCTGTCAATGCTGAACACTGGCTTATGTAAAAATCTGAATATTTTGTTAAACAATGCGTGTTTTTACAAACATTTTCCCCAAAAACAAGGTAATCCTTGTAGAAGAGAAGACACAATTTGAGCCACATGCAGCAAGAAGACCCTTTTGGATTTGTATGTCTTTTTGAGGATAAAGTGGTGAGTAACTAAAGCATTTGGATTACACTCACTGGCCATGTTATTAGGCACACCTGTTCAATTCTTTGGTAACACAAATTGCTAAACAGCCAATCACATGGCAGTGACTCAATGCATTTAGGCATCTAGATGTGGTGAAGATGACTCGCTGAAGTTCAAACCGAGCATCAGAATAGGGAAGAAAGGGGATTTACGTGACTTAGAACGAGGCATGGTTGTTGGTGCCAGACGGGCTGGTCTGAGTATTTCAAAATCTGCTGATCTAAAATAAATTGAATAACTCAAGCGCTAACTATGGTGAACTGAAAACAAAAAATTTAAAAATTAAAACAAAAAATCACAATTAAATGCTGTAGCCACTAGTGCACACAACCCATGTCTCAGTGAGGCAAATTATACAATCATACTGTGAAGTGAATAAATGCTGCACTGCATGAAACAATTGTACAAACCATTATATATCCAAAAAATAAAGTGAAGAAATAAATATACAGATGAAACTCGAAAAATTAGAATATCGTGCAAAAGTTCATTTATTTCAGTAATGCAACTTAAAAGGTGAAACTAATATATGAGATACACTCATTACATGCAAAGCAAGATAGTTCAAGCCGTGATTTGTCATGATTGTGGCGATTATGGCTTACAGCTCATGAAAACCCCAAATCCACAATCTCAGAAAATTAGAATATTACATGCAATCAATAAAACAAGGATTGTACATAGAACAATATCGGACCTCTGAAAAGTATAAGCATGCATATGTACTCAGTACTTGGTTTTACTACCTCAATGCGGCGTGGCATGGAAGCTATCAGCCTGTGGCACTGCTGAGGTGTTATGGAAGACCAGGATGCTTCAATAGTAGCCTTCAGCTCTTCTGCATTGTTCGGTCTCATGCCTCTCATTTTTCTCTTGGCAATGTCCCATAGATTCTCTATGGGGTTCAGGTCAGGCGAGTTTGCTGGCCAATCAAGCACAGTAATCCCACGGTCATTGAACCAGGTTTTGGTGCTTTTGGCAGTGTGGGCAGGTGCCAAGTCCTGCTGGAAAACGAAGTCAGCATCCCCATAAAGCTCGTCTGCGGAAGGAAGCATCAAGTGCTCCAAAATCTCCTGGTAGATGGCTGCATTGACCCTGGACTTAATGAAGCACAGTGGACCAAAACCAGCAGATGACAAGGCTCCCCAAATCAACACAGACTGTGGAAACTTCACACTGGACTTCAAGCATATTGCAGTGTGTGCCTCTCCATTCTTCCTCCATACTCTGGGTCCTTGGTTTTCAAATGAGAAGCAAAGAGGACTTTGGACTACTGAGCAACAGACCAGGTCTGTTTTTCTTTAGCCCAGGTAAGACGCTTCTGACATTGTTTGTTGTTCAGGAGCGGCTTGACAAGAGGAATACGACATTTGGAGCCCATGTCCAGGATGCGGCTCTGTGTGGTGGCTCTTGATGAACTGACTCCAGCCTCAGTCCACTCCTTGTGAAAGTCCCCAACACTTTTTGAATGGCCTTTTCCAGACAATCCTCTCCAGGCTGCGGTCATCCCTGCTGCTTGTGCACCTTTTTCTTCCACACTTTTCCCTTCCACATAACTTTCTATTAATGTGCTTTGATACAGCATTTTGGGAACATCCAACTTCTTTTGCAATTACCTTTTGAGGCTTTCCCTCCTTATCTAGGGTGTAAATGATGGTTTTATGCACAACTGTTAGGTCAGCAGTCTTTCCCATGATTGTGTTTCCTACTGAACCAGACTGAAAGACCATTTAAAGGCTCAGGAACCCTTTGCAGGTGTTATATCTTAATTAGCCGATTAGAGTGGGACACTTTGAGCCGAGAATATTGCACCTTTTCACAATATTCTAATTTTCTAAGATTGTGGATTTGGGGTTTTCATGAGCTGTAAGCCATAATCATCACAATTATGACAAATCACGGCTTGAACTATCTTGCTTTGCATGTAATGAGTCTATCTCATATATTAGTTTCACCTTTTAAGTTGCCTTACTGAAATAAATGAATTTTTGCACGGTATTCAAATTTTTTGAGTTTCACCTGTATATTAGAAGAAAAAATAGTAGAAAAAATATTAATATTGAAATAAAATTATAAATATATGAATATATATATATATGTTTTATATATATATAAAACAAAAACTACACAAAAAATAAAGAATATTTTAAGTATGAATCAAATAAAGGTCATTCAAAAAAATCAAGTTCAATCAATAAAGTGTTAATTCAGTGAACCCTCCTTTGAATAACGAAAAATACGTGCATCTGTCAATTCCCATGCAAAGACATCCTCCACCATATATCTGCTCACCTCATGCAGTGTGACCCCACATTATACAATGTTACGGTCTAACTGCACTTTTGGTCCCATATTGACTCAGAAGATCAACTTGCTGAATGAAGACTCCAAAGTAAGCACCGTCCTGATAAGCGTCTTTGTATCAGCCGTATTCCTCATTAAAAAGAACTCAACATGGTGCTTTATCCTTTTAAACTTTTATTCATCAATTAAAACATATGAAATACACTCACGTTCTGGAGGTGTATTTTGCACCAGGTATGATGAATATCCAGTGATGTACTGATTAAACACAAGATGGCAGTATCATCTCAGCAGCGGAGTCATGGCGTGTGGTGTTCCCAGAGGGCCATCTTGTGTATGGGAGATTCTCTATGCTGTCATCTGCTGCTGACTGTGGGATCTCTGGAAACTACCCTGGTGTTGTGGCGATTTTGGATTCATCTTATGTAAACAAAATGCTGATTTTTATCATTGAGAATGTGAGCGGCGTGGTACTTGATTATTCAGTTGACCAAGTGTTGCAGTATTACGCTATATTATTTTGTCTTTCCCTACATTGCACTGAGTGTTCTTGGAGAGTGGAGTCTGGTGATCCTGGAGGTTGGAGGTTGGCTATTCTTGGGTGGAGTGGAGATCTGGAGGCATATCAACTAGGTCTAGGATCCCCAAATAAAACCTAAAAGGTGTTTTTTCACCATTATCTGGTGAGTGCGGTATATATTGTTTGAGCACTATTCCTGGTAGAAGCACATTTCTTTGGAAAGAGGACTTTCTGTGTTTTTTTGAAGATTTTTTCACTTATTTTGGAGTGGGGATTTTTTATCAATATTATTTATATTTATTTATATATGTCATGATATAATATTTTGGAGGGAAACACATTATATATTTTATATATTTTTTATTTATTTTTGCACTGTTTGTATTGTCTAAATATTTTTTGGTGTGGGTTTGCACTGATGAGCAGCAGCATTTATTTGTTTTATTTTGTTTAATTTTGGCGCTGGTGATTTATGGTTACAATATCAAAGTAAAACGGAAATAAAATGTAAATATATAATACACTACAAACACATTTTTCTAACAATATATCTAATTTATGCAAAATTAAACTTACCGTATAATTACAAACATCACCAGTGCATTGCCCACCAAGCCAACAACAAAAACCATGGAGTAAACTGCTGTAATGATGACAGAGATTGTGGGAGAAATGGTGGTGTGGTTGCCCTCATGTGTAGGGGATATAGGATAGTCGCTGACATTTTCATAGTCATCCCAGCCTAGCAGTAAACTGGAGTTGGCAAAGCAGCTGGAAGTGCACATGGGCATACAATTGGGAGAGCATGTTGAACCCATTGGAGGTCTCTTAGGGTCTATTTCCTCCTCTCGAAAAATCTGCACCGGAGATTCCATGAGGATTAAACAATTCAAGATCTGAAAAACAGAATTCAAGGTTATTTAAATGCAAATACTATGTGTAGCTCTCTCTTTCAGAATTTTAAAGGCAACACTGTTTATGGCAGCACAGTGGCTAAATAGTTAGCACTTCTGCCTGGCAGTACTAGGGTCATTGGGTTTCGTGGGTTTCCTTCAGGTATTCCAGTTTCCTCCCACACTCCAAAGACATGCTAGTAGGCTAGTATGTGTATGCATGTATGAATGTAAGTTAGGGACCTTAGATTGTACGCCCCTTGAGGCTTAGGGACTGATGTGAATGTACAATATATATGTAAAGTACTGCTCAAATTGACGGTGCTATATAAGTACCTCTAATAAATAAATTAATTAGTTAAAGGCAATATGTAAAACAGAAAACACAAGGAAACAAAGAAAGAGATAACAGAAAATTTTACAATGGAAGTCGTGCACAAATAGTTATGTACAATATGAAAACACAACCACCAGTGTCAAAATTAAAAGGAACAAATACTCTCACAATCCCCCCCCCTCCCAAAAAATAAAACAAAAACATTCATAAGGTCAGAAACACCTACATCTGTTTTGCAGATACTAAGATAAGATCATGTCAGTACATTCACGGAAATCATCTTTAATATAATTAGTCTCAGAATTTAAGAAAAAATAAAAAAGAAACATTTTTAATCTGCATGAATGCCTTTAGACCAGTGGTCTCCAAACTGCAGCCCTGAGGCCAGATGTGTTCCTTTGCTTGCTTTTATCCAGCCTGTGGGGTACTATTTCATCCATTGATACCAACAATGGGCCATTATTCCCCCAGCTGCCACCAATGAAGAGGAACAATTTCTCTTAAAAAACACCAACAATGGACTATTATTCCCCCCCACCCCCACCCCCACCCGACACCAATGATGGGGCACAATTATTTCCAATGACACAAATGATAGGGCACTGTTTTATCCACTGACACTAAACATGGGGCATTTTTTCCCATTGACATTGGGACCTTTTTTACTCCCAATGGCCACAGTCCGGCCCCCCTAAAGTCTGAAGGACAGTAAACTGGCCCTTTGTTTAGAATGTTTGGAGACCCCTGCTTTAGACAACAGCAATCCTTTCATGTGTTTAACCAAATCTAAAAATACAGTATTGTAACCCTAAGGGCATTTCTGTAAACGTTCCTTAGGTTCTGTGCAGACTAATAGTAGAAGTGATTTTATTGCAAGAGCCAAATATTTTTGGAAAAGCATACCTACAAGTGAGCTGTATTGACATGGTTGCTAGAATGAAAAAATATAATTTCCATACTGGTAAAAACAATGTCTACTTCATTATTAAACTTTGATGTTATTTCAAAGGTGCTTTAAAAAAAACAACAACTCAATTGGAACCTGAAGAAGATATTGTTTTTAGTTTGCATAGTGGGGAAGAATTTAGAACCCCTTTCAGAATTTTTACAGGGTTCTGTTAGAGAGATTTTACCTCACCAGTTTCACTAGATATGAATTGAGGGTAAATCTCCAACAACAGCACAGACTGAAGTATTTTTTATTACAGTAGGATAGCAGTAAAAACCTAAAGGAAAACCCAGAACTCCAAATAATGTTTCACAATAACCATATACTGGTCACCAAAAACAGAAACAGAGTGTTGTCAGAATTTTTGTTCCAAGGATCACAATACACAAACCTGGAGTTATAGTAATATACAGTATTATATGTGTAACCAAAATACTGTAGCTGTGTTCATTAATAACCCAAATGCAAACAACAAAAATCATCGATTTGGACTATGCATATTACAAATGAGACATCAATAGTACTGTATGTGGTTGGATCCTTCTACTAATCAATAAATTCCATATGATCCAACTTTAGTTTTTTTGCAATAAGCTTAACCATCATTATGAAATCAAACTCGCCATTGACTGATTATCAGATGAAGTGGCTGAATATACAGCAGTAGCAGTAGTGTCCCATTAAATCAATCAGCATCCCCAGTTATTTACAGCCTACATAAGGTGCACCTCCAATAAGGATGTCAGCTCCTGGCTAAGTATTTGGATCAAAATCTCCAGCCCTTGTGATGGGTCTTCCATTGTACTTACATGACACCAATGATTTTCTGGTCAGCCACAAAAGACAGAATGGTCTCCAGACTGTACCCTGGTTAATATGAAACATCAGCTAGCTATATATAAATATCCAACTTTGCATAGCTTAGATGCAGTCCAGCATTTTTTTTTTTTAGGTAAAACCCCATGAATGGTACCAACAGATTTCATTCTCAAAGGACTTGAACTTGTGTTTGAAAATCATGTATTTGGCATTTACAAGCAGATTCTTGGTACAAACCATGGGTAGAGCCAGGGCCCCAGCCTTTGCCAATTTATTTGTAGGCATGTTAGAAGAAAAACAATAGTTTGGTTTGACATTGTGCATGCACCACAGTCTAGCTCTGATACATTGATATCTTTGTGGTTAGTAGAAGATAATCTGTAGAAGTTGATGCATTTGTAAACTTTTGAATTCTCTACATCCTAATATAGAATGTAATCATGTATTCTATCAAAGCTTTGTGGACATTCTCAATGTGTTTCTGAACTTTTTTATCTGTCAAATTATTCATAGCTTTTGGATTTGTTCCAAACCTGATGAAAGGTATGTACAAATTGCAATGGCCAGGAATACATTTTTAGAGAGGGATTACCCCTCTCATGTTTTGGACAATGAAATTGTGCAAGCATATGAAAGATTTAATAACTCTAAACCAGACAAAGGCACTATGCTCAATTTGTTTAAACTTATAGGTGTTGATTTACTAAACTGAAGGGTGCAAAATCTGGTGCAGCTCTGCATGGAAACCAATCAGCATCCAGGTTTTTTTTGTTAAAGCTTAAGTTAACAAGCTGACTGTTAGAAGCTGATTGGCTACCATGCACAGTTGCACCAGATTTTGCACTCTCCAGTTTTACAGAATCAACCTCATATATTTTTTTGTCAGAGTTCATTAAAAAAATCACAGACAGTTACGGGTATATCTTAAAGGGAAGTGGTCAGGAAGCCTGCTTTCTTACAAGCGTGGCAAAAATGTGTGGGATCTTCCCATACAACAGATCTGAGAGTAAAATAAAGAGATTAAAACACAGTTTAGAATTTCAGACAGGAAGGGATTTGACAAATGTTGCAATTGCAACATCTGGAATGCCCTGATTTGTGATTAATTTCTTTTTTACCATCCACATCTGGGACACCAATTTTTAAGGACTATTACAATTGCAACACGGAGTTTTTTTTATCTATTTACTCAACTGTATCTGTTACCTGACATATGTTGGAAAACCACAGGCCCTTTAAAATGCAACGTCCAAAAACACTGCAGTGATATCTGTGTGGCTCTTTGCCTTCACAGTCAGCAACAAAACAATTAATCAGAGCAAAGTGGTGGATGGCTGCCATATATGACCACATACCTAAACCTATTAGAGCATTGTTTCATTGCAAAGCTTTCTGGATTCATACATTGTGGATTGCAAGGCAAAGGGAACCTCAAATTGGATTTATCACTCCAATATTTTTTTCTTTGAATGGTAGTAATTTTTTTCTTTGTTCCCCATTATTATATGGTTCCTTATCAGTGGAGTTTTATATGCTATATATATGTTCAAGCATATTTTTACATCAGGGTCTTACTGTGACACTTTTGTACTGTTTTATTTTTTAATTCTTGTAATTTTTGCAGTTGCTGCCATGTTTACAATGGTCATAGTGCCCAATTATAGTTGGCAACTGTGACAATTGTGTGAATAGAGGCATGGACGATGTACATGACAAGCCATCTTGTTAGGTCTCAGCCATTTTGTCTCTCCTGTCCTCCCTCCTCCCTTTTGAATGGAATGTGAGTCAGTAAGTGAACGGAGTTCAAAAGTGCATATCGTAGATATACACAGCTACATGAGCTCCATGGCTGTAAACCACTAATTAGTCTGGTTCCAGAAGGTCTGCTTGAAAATCACTTTCCTCTGTCTGGTCGTAAAACAATAACTCAGTCAGTCATGACCTGTTGGGCCATTAAGGGCTAAAGCATGCCACAAAATGTACATTCCATATAAGTCATTTTTCATACAAATTCATAAACTTCAGCAGAAACTGGGCACATTAATATGAAGTATATATTCGGATAGGTCATTTTAATATGAGTCACATGACACCTTACATCCCTACAAGATGGTAGAAAGCAATTTCTTTTATCCGGAGTGGCAGGATATGCTAAAGTTTGGTATCTGTGTGTTTGGAATATAATTTTAAATATTAATCTGCCAGTTACTAGGATGCTACCTGTACCTATTGAAGGTTATTGACCGTAGTATCAACTTGAAAGGGATTTGGTCATAGCCTTGGTTACCGCCCAAACACCCATCCCCAAATGTGGTGATTGGTCATTTGTTCTCAGGAGACACCCCTTTGAGATAATAGAAAAAGACTGAGAGCCTGGAGAAAAAGAAGCTCTCCTTTTACCATCTATCAGAAACCATCTTGAGAGCAAAGGCAACCTTTTGTTCGGACAATTGGACTCTGCTCAAACCAAGGTCTTTTGCAAGTATTCTGCCTTCTGAAACTTCTTTCTTTTATTTCTCTGTTGTTTTCTTGCTCTCTTTATATATTTGTTACATCTTTTTCTGTAAATATTTTAATTTAACCATTTTAACCTTTTTAGTAATAAATCCTATTTTCTGAAAAGTGTTGAACTGTCTCTAAAGCTTTTAATGCAAACTAAAAAATCCCTGTCTCTGAAGAGTGCTACTGTATGTGATAATCGTCTGAATACATCTTTCTGTGGAGACAGTGTGTTACAGACGCTTATACTAATATCATAGTGTTACTGCTAAGATTTGTGAGTTTCCTCCTTCTCTGTAAAAAGGTGGTGGTGGCAGTGTGAAGGGTTAATTGCATAATTAACCTGACCCAGTAACAATCGCTCTCAGGCTGCTGGCA